GAAATTAAAAACAATCAAAAATTACAAATTTACGTAGCAATTCACATGCACAGATGCATAAATATGTTATACTGTATAAAACATAGAAAATAGGAGTAAATAATTAATAAGAAAAATATTAAATACAAAATAAAATAATTAAATAAATACAGAAATAAATACAAATATTGTGAGTAAAAATTTAAATATAGCAAAATGGTGGTAAACAAAACTATAAATCTTCAAACACAGTAGGGCGTCGATTTATCCTAGTCAATTGGGGACTGGGGTTGTTTGGAAAATCGATATTTCGGATAACTGATTACGTACTTTACTTTACTTTACTTTATTTAAAGAATACAAGAGCTGTCTGTCATTTAGCGGCAGACTTTGCTCTATAGAGATGGAAGGAGAAGGTAAGGAAAAACAGACCGAATGTGAAATAAAGGGAGATAGGGGAGTGTGAAAGAAGACATGGAGGAGGAGAGGTGGGGGAAGAGAGGGGATTTTTAGAGAGTATAAAGTTTAGAAAGGAAGGTAAATTTGCGATAACCGATTATGTACAAAAAAGTATATTAACCTATCCCATGTTGAAATTTTTTCCGTTGCGTGTCGCTTTGCGTTGAATTTTCATCAGTGTTAAGCCTAATGAAGACTATTGTATCGTTAAAAATTATTTTTTTTATTTTGTACAAACAAAATAAATATATTGAAAAATATAAAAACAATAAAAAATTATACTTCAGAAGTTAATTTAGTATCAAAAACGTAAAATATTTGAGTAGCCCATGACATAGCCAAAGATTGCAGTGCCACAGCACTGGCGAAAATTTAAATTTGCCGACTGGAATTCTTTCGGATAATCGATGCTCTACTTAATGTTCTCCAAGAATGTGACATGACTGCAGAATCTTTAAAGTTAAACTGAGGTTCCTTTTTTACTAATCTTATAAATTTCGAGAATTTCCAAATGTTTAAATCATATCATAGCCAAAGCATGATGTAGTAGGTCTGCTCTATTGAAAGAAACATGCATATCACTATGACAAGTAAAGGACACCAAGGCAGTTATACATAGTTGCTTTCTAATGATGTTTTGATGTTCTCTGATTCTAGTCCTCATAGATCTATAAGTTGCTTCAGTGTATTTACAATCTACTCTGTTATCCTGTAAGGGAAATGAAGTAGAGTTTTTTCATCAGCATATTCCTTATCATTGCTGAGTAATGAAAAAGTAGTAGGGCTGCTTTTGTATGCAATTCTAAAGTTGGAGAGTTTTGTTATTTCCCTGAAGATATTGCATAAAACTTTGTTGTAGGTGACAGTCCTAAAAGGACCTACTGTACCATCATTGGGCTGCAATTTGAAAAAATTGTAGACCTATAAATTCCTACTGTCATCTGTCTGTCTGTCCTTCCTTAATCTCAAGAACAGGGTTAGATTATTAATTCTGCTAAAACAGCAGATAAAAGTGAGTCCATTGGAACCTTCCATTTTTGGAAATAATGATTGTAAATTAATGACAACAAGACCAAAAATCCAGCAATTGAACCTTATGGGTAAAACTTGTTGGATATTGAAACCCTTTTCAATTAGGAGTGTGTTGACTAGCATGGTAACTTTGAAGATAGGAAGTGAGTGGTATAATGAGACAACATTGATTTTTGTATAAGCTATACAACAGTGAATCCATGCCTAATAGTGCCATTTGTATGCAGTCTTTAGCCTCCAATGATGAAGTGATTATGCAAAGCAAAGTGGCAAGAAGTGAAGGAAAAAGGGTTGCTAGAGCTTTCTCTAAAAATATGTAGGATTCATGTCACTTCACAAGATAGTATCTTAACTTCTGCTTATTGGTTGCCTTTCTGGGTTATTTCCTATTTTATTTTATATTTATANTTCTAAATGTTTTATCTTTATGCTTTGTCACTTAACCAAAATGATTTTGGTTTGTCTACATCAGTATTTTCCATTAGTCCTTTCTGGATTAGCAACACACTTTAAATTTAATAATGTTCCTGCAACACACCATAATTTTTAAAATAAAAATGTTTAAAATTTGAAATATGTTATGGTTCATTTTTAAAAATTTTGATAATATGGAAGTTAAATTTATCAAAACAAAAATTCACAAAATATACTACCACTTCACAAGATAGTATCTTAACTTCTGCTTATTGGTTGCCTTTCTGGGTTATTTCCTATTTTATTTTATATTTATAGTTATCCTGATATTTTCCATTGTAAATAATATTTATAATTTATGTTATTTATGAATATTACATGTAATGCAGGTTAAAACAGTATTAATATTTATATTAATATGCTATATTTTTANTTGAATTTTTTTAATAATTTGTAGCAGTTGTTTATTTAAAATATATTGCTGAAGCAGAAAGATTAAAAAATTATTAATATATTGATACATGGTATTCACTTAAACATTATCCAGGAGCAAAAGGGATCTATCTAGCATATGTTAGGTTAAATTAGATTGTAGATACCAAATATACCAAATATGACAGTAGATACCAAATATGCCAGATAGTATGTTGCCATGATCCATACATAATTTGCAATTAGCACAGCATGCAGATAATGCCACACAGAAATTTGAGTGGTAAAACATAATGTTAAATTTACAGCATGATGAATCACAACTCCTTAAGCACATTTTATGAACTGACAAGACACTTTTTCCTAGAATTCAGTGTATAACCATCACAATATGTACTGTACCACTGGGCAGTGTGGTGTTACACAATGCAGACAACATACAAAATACCAAGTGCATTTTGTTCTAAAATATGGTGTAGAATTTGGAGTGAGCAGCTTTTTGGTCTTTTGTATTCATTGCAGTGGTGCATTATAGCTTCATGGGGCCCAGGCAAATTTGAATTAGGGGGCCTCATGTACAGTGTTGACTTCAGATATTTTTCTTTTGGGTAATTTATGGAGGAAAATATTTTCTTATAAAAGATTGGTTTGAATCCCCTATTGGTGAGGCCTCAGGCAATTGCCCTTTCTTCCATAGTATAGCGTGCCACTGATTTATTGATGATATCTTGAATAGTGACTAATGTCTGACTGATGTCCAAACATCCTAGATACAGTAGTGGATAAATGGCTTGATGACTTGCCATTGGTGCAACTGCAATAGATTGATACCAATGCAATAGCATGCCACTCAATCCCAGGCAGACATGCATCAGTGGTTCCTAGAGCAGTTTGACAACTACTGGATAGGACAATATGGCTCTGTTCCATGGCCACCACATTCCCTAGACTTGACCCTTCTGAATTTTTACTTTCCTGGCTGTTATATTTAACAGAGACAATTGATCAAAAAATTTACCTCCAAGATTTTTTCATTTTTGGACTTGGGACTTTGAAATATTAAGAAATGCAAAAAAATTTGGGAGTTATTTTCTGTATGTATTTATGTTAGTATGTGAGTGGGTGGGCACAATTTTGTTCATCCATTTTGAAGCTTAATAACTCCTGTGCTTTTTTGTTGAAAATTTCTGAAATTTTGCAGGGAGGTTTGCGTATTAGGGTATTGATACTATTAAATGTTGGTGGTTAAAAGTCAAGGGTGTCATGTATCATATCTCGAGTAGGATTGGACTTAATGAAGATTTTACTTGTTATTAGCATTACAATTTTTTTATAAAACTCATCTCTACTCTTTTAAAATTAAACTTTTTGCTGTTTTATAATAATTAATTATATAAAAAAGTCTTTAAAATAAAATATCATAACAGATGGTATCATATGCAATTTTAAATGCTGGGAAAGTTATGCAACTTGCTGGATTTTTTTCTGTAGAGTCAACTAAAGCATCAGTGTATGATGCATATCAACAATCCATGTGATGTTGCTGAACTGGAAAGACACATACAAGACGTCTATGAAATAATGACACTAGGAATGCTACATGTTATTCATAATGCCACATTCAACTGTTTACACCTTTGCATTGCCACTGAAGGCAGTTGTTCTCTAACAAAATAAATCTCATTAACTCACTTTTTGTATCAATTTCTGGAATATCATTTTTATCCTTTACAGTCAGTGATTATTTGTATGTTATGCTAATCCATCTTAAATTGATTTATTTTGGTTATTTTAGCACTGGAACAAGCATATACCACATGTACAGTACAGTATACACTTATGTGCAATGCTGGAAAGATCTCTTTTGCCCCTGGATAGATACTTAAGTGGACACCCTGTACATAAATATCAGGCTTATTTATACATATTAAAAAATGATATAGACTTATTTAATCAATGAGTTTTTTTGACTGAATCCTTTAAGTGGATAGATATTATCTATTCATTTATAGGATTTAGTGAAAAAATTCATTGATTGTAATGAAAGTCTTACTTTGTAGACAAAAACATTTATTGTTTGGAGTAAAAATTGAGAAGAAAAAAATAAAATAAATTGATAAAATTTAATTAATTTTAACCATTGCTATATTAAAACATTTGAACCACTTATAGCATTTTATTGGCATAATGTGTTAAGAGTTATTTTCCTTTCTAGAATTCCTTGTAAATTCTACTGTGTTTTTAATTATATCTTATCTAAATTTGTTAAATTTCTGATATAATATTCTATATATAATATGTACTTAAATTTTTTTTAATCTTTTATGTTATCTTCTCTGTAGTATTGAAAGACTTCTACATGTACTTGCATATATCAAAATCTTTCTTATTTTTTATGATTTAATGGGCACTTTAATAATTGTTATTTTTTTATTGCAGATATTTGATAAATTGTTTATGTACAGGATGATGTAATGTTGCTCATTATAGACAAAGATATTTAATTTTACATTGTTTTAAATTTTTTTTACATTTAATAATGAATTGAATCTATTGATTTACAATATATATTAAAGATATATCAAACATATTTAATAAATTATTTTAAAAAATTACTGATTCAACAGAATTATTGATTAATAAGCTAAGTAAAACTATAATTATATTTCATTTTACATTAATAGGGTTTGTAAGTTTTGACAACCCAGCTAGTGCCCAAGCTGCTATACAAGCCATGAATGGGTTTCAAATAGGGATGAAGCGCCTCAAAGTGCAGCTGAAACGCCCCAAAGATGCCAACAGACCGTATTAATATTCCCCACCAAAAGTGGTGAATTGTTAAGGTAATTATAACAATAATTTTCTCATTAAATTTTAACTTAACACTTACATTGTTATTTGGTGATTGACTTTTAATCCATTGTTTTTTAAATTTAGAATGCCACACAATTTCAAATTTGCAAATTTTAAAACTAGAAAAAATTAAAAACTTGATATCAATTACTTAGAATCACTCTGCATATGTATTATTAGGTACTGTGTTTTTATGTATATAACCCATAATGGTATATAACTCACAGAAATTTGCTAGAACAGAAACAAAACCTTTACATAACCTGCTCCACCATACACACTACCTTTCAAGCAATAGCTGTTCCATAGACATGAGTCTGTACTTTCAGTTTAAAAATCAGCATATAATCGACTCCATTGTATAACTTGCACATTTTTCAAATTGCCTTTTAGACATAGTATCCTACGGGTAATCTGCATTAATATATGGTAAACATTTAAATGGTGCCTATTATCAATATATGTAATAGTTCACAAATAAAGTAGAAGACTGACTTTTGACATTAATTAATTTTAATTGAAGTGATAAAGTATAAAAACCAGAAGTTTATAAAGTTTATCATAATGTTCAACAACTTAATGTTATTGTCAGGCAAAATTGAAATTGAATATATTAATTATTAAGACATATGTTAATTGTATATATTAATTTAATTGTATATAACTACAAAATGGATGTATGTATTAAAACAAATCTTTTTAAAATATATATATTTTAAAACAATAATACGGGACAATTTGAAGTAATTTTAGGGCATCTACAAGTTTATGGATTAAAAAAAAGAATGTCTTAGAGAATGTTGTTTCTTTGTAGTTTTATTTTCTTTTTATATTAAAAAAATAAAACACATATGAAATAAAATGTTATGTCTTTCAATTTTCTTATTCAGTTATACTTTTATAATAATTTAAAATTAAAATATTTATTATAAACATTATTTTAAATTCAAATTAATTTATTAAAAATAAATGTTCTTAACTTTTTAGATTGTCTTAAGCTTTAAATCATAAATGTTTGAAAATAGAATATTTGTTAGGAAATTAACATATATCAAATAGCAATATTTAAAATTAAGTACTATATAAATAAGTTATAAATACATATTAGAATGTTATATACAATATAAATACAACAACATAATAAAACTTTTAAGATAAATGTGATGATTTGCAAATTAATTAATGAAAAGAACCTGAAAGTTCAAAACAGCTACAAGAAGATAAAGAAATTATAACATTAAGGTATTAAAAGATATGTAAATAGCTTAATATTATTTGAATTTGGATGTAAAGTGTTTTGTTACATTATAAAAATTAATTGAATCTAAAACTGCAGTACAATTTCTGTCCAATTTTACTGAATCTTTAGAATAAATAACATTAATTTGATAAAACATGTATACATATCTAACAGCCTGATGGAGGAACAATCTCTCAATTCTCACAATATGGAAAGATGGGAATTTGATACAAGATTTTGTAGATGATATTAACAACAATACAATAGGTATTACATTTAATATAAATCAGATTGATAGCTACACAATTAAACAGGTAGCCATATCAAATGAATTTCCTTTCAATGTTATAAAAGGTTTAATCAAATCATATCAGAGAAATTCAAGGTGATACAAAGTCTTTGAAAAAACATATTACTGATAAAAAGTTCACTGTTACTGGTAAATATATAGCTACACTGTTAGTTCCATAGACTAGAGAAAGAAACATGAGGTTATGTTTCAGATATTTTCATTGCAGATGTAATGAAAATGTTAAGATTAAATAAAGACAAAATTAAGGAGCTATATAAAATGACTAAACTCATGAAACAACAAGAACAATTTTATTGTGTTGGATCTACATTTAGATCATTAAATAAAAGAATGAAAGAACATTTGGGATCAATTGGTAAGATGATAATGCAGCAAATACTATTTTAGTCCAATGGGTATTAGTTCATGAAATATCTGTTAGTTGGATTGATCCCAGTACCATTAAAGGATTGAGATATTATTGTTCCATCAGGCTGTTAGATATACAGTATATACATTTTATCAAATTATATGAATGTAATTAATTCTGAAGTTTCGGTAAAGTTGGATAGAAATTGGACTGCAATTTTAGATTCCATTTTTTCTAGTTTTTTTTAGCAGCAAAACATTTTACATCCAAATTTTAATATTAAGCTATTTACATACCTTTTAATACCATAATGTTGTAATTTCTTTTTCTTCTTGTAGCTGTTTTGCACTTTCAGGTTCTTTTGACATTAATTTGCAAATCAGCACATTTTGTCAAAAGTTCTATTATTATGTTGTTGTATTTCTATTGTATATAATAGTCTAATATGTATTTATAACTTATTTATATATTACTTAATTTTAAATATTGCTGTTTGATTTATGTTAACTTCCTACCATATGTTCTATTTTCAAACAGGATTTAATGCTAAAGATGACTTAAAATAAATTTTTAAAAAATGTTCCTTTCAATAAATTTGGCTTCCTGTAGAAAGCTGTTTCATTTATATAATTACAAAATGATGTCAGCTTTAATGATTTTAAATTTAATTATTATTTTCAACATTATATATTATATAGAGCAATATCAGATTATATTTAAATATATAAAATTTTCTGATTACCTTACTTTTTTATTGGTATTTAGAATGAAATATATAATAAACAAATAGTGTAATTTACTATAAAATATTCAATATTATATATTTTTAACAAATTTCGATTAAAAATTATAAATTACATTTAATAATAATCAATGTTTTTTTCAGCAATTTTTTTATACTAGAAATGTAAGCTAATTAATTTACAATTTAATTAATGTTATATTCTGTATATGCAAGTATTGTAAAAGATATATCGTAGTGATGATAATAAAAGAAATGAAAACAAAATGTGATGCCATCTGTTGGTCAAAGAAATTGTATATTTCATAATATATTATATTTATAGATTATAATAATCTTTCTTAAAACATTATAACTAAACACTTTAAGGTAAATTACCTTAAAGTTTTTAGTAAACTTTTTAAAGTTTGAAACATTTTTTATATTTATTTATATAATATTCATGCACAGCTAAATCTAACTTATGAGTACATCAGTTGATATGGAATATATACATTAGATTAAATTATTGTGGATTAAAGATCAATCACTATAGCTAAAGGAAAATTTTCCTTATAATATTTATTCAGAACGTTTTAAATATAATTCTTTATTTCAATATAATATGCATCTTCAGAAAGTAAATATATTCACTAAATATCTTAAGAAAAGTATCTGTAAAATTTAAGAATAAGAAGTAAATTTGTAATGTTTTATTTTTGATGCGATATGTTCTTCTGATGCAAGATAAGATATTTTATAATTTTAAAGTAAACAAAAAAAACATTATAATATTACACAATCAAGTTTTGTTAATTATAATTCAATTTTTACAATTGCAAAATAATGTAAAAATAAAACCACAAATTAAATTAGTCTTTGGTGTTAAATACAAGAAGTAGGTCTTGTATTTAACACCAAAGATTGAATTAATTTGTTTTTATTTCTTTCTTTTCAATATAGTGGTGTTTGCCATCATCATTTTAATGTAAAAAATATTATCATCTTTATGAACAATTTTATAAAGCCTAAAAAATTTTCAAAAGTCAGATATTTTTTAGCTTGTTTAAGAAATTATTAAATTGTAAAATAAAAAATTATTTAAGAAGAATGGTATAATACTGATTCTGAGTCTCTCTTGGCCTAGTTTCTTGGAAATCCAACATGCCAACAAAGCAAAATCACCATGAGAAAAGTGTAACCATATATTTGCGGCACCTTAAGTAAGTGAAAGCTGTCGTGGTGTGTTGGTATTTGTGGTGCCGTTTTGGTAGCTGCACTCAGAATTTAGATTTGGATGTATCATGCTCGAAATCACAATTATTTGGTAGTAGTCATTTGTGCTACTTTTCATTGTGTTTGTGTAAATGTATCTACAACTAATATCGCATGCTTCTTCATTACAATAACAAACTAACACACTATTCTTTATTAATTTCAATGCAATTTCAAATCTCCCAATACTATCTGTAATATGCTTGTTGCTTCTGTAACAAAATATCTGTCAATTTACATTCATGACAATCAATTAGAAAACAACAGACAGCTAAACTTTCACATACTATGTTTGCTAAGTGTTGCATGATCTAATCAGTGTATCTCTACACTGAGATAAATGTCTGTTAGTTTTCTAACAAAGATAATGCACAGCATTTAACTCAAATACATAAATTGTATAAGTTTATTTATTATTACAGGCATGTAAAATTCATCATGTTATTTTCAGAAGTTTTCCCTCTTAACTTTTATCACTTTTTTCATGTTAAATTTTAATCTTATTGTTAATTTTATATTTATTTAAAATGTTTATTGTTTGAATTATTGTATATTATATATTTTTTGTGATATACTAAAATAATAATATAAAAAGTAATATTGTAATTTTTTAATTATAATATATTTATAATTAATCTAATTAATAAATTCTTGTTTACAGTCTAAAATATTAATTAAATATTATTTTTTTATATTTAGTTTTCTTAGTATATTTCACGATTGAATATTACCAGGTGATCATGAAATAAAGTACCCTTATTCAGTGTTGTCTAGAGAGAGATTTAACAGTCTAAATGCAATCATATGATGATATTTCAAGACATGTGGAAGACATTTCCATTAATTTAAAAAATTTAGCAATATCAAAACTTACCAATATGGCACTTTTAGCACTGCAAACAATGAAAAGCAGTTTCATTTGTGAGGACATTTAAAAAATGTGATTTATTGAGGACATGTTGCAAATTTGACAGATTTGAAAAATGATTGTATCATGCTGCATATGAGAGGTTTCACAGAGGATTAACTGTGATTCAGATATTGAACAACCTTTTCAGGTTTTATGCCTTCAGAATGGAAGCAACATTGAGC